TTGGCACGTGAAAGCATTTTGCTTGGCATGTGCGCCTCAGGGTGGATGGCAGGGAAGGGGCTGGGGCTGGGGCTGTGCTGCCACAACAAGGATCAGGCCCCCCGTGGCTCCCCCACCATCCACCCTTGGCATGCCAACATCTTACAAGTCGAGGTTGCGGGTGTTTTTGGCACTCTGCCCCAAAAACTTTGGTGACTCCTGAAGCAGGGTTTGAATCAAAGTCCATATATCAAGAATGGGCCCAGTTGTTTGCTATCATTTCTCTAGAAAGAGACTTACCTTGGGAAAACCAGGATGCTTCTGTGCCATCAAGCCACTCTGGTGAGCGGAACAAGCAACAACAGATCATGTTTCTCCTAGTGTCTTGTTCATAAGACTTAACTTCCAGATGTATCTGAGGAAAGCCAGGTTACTTAACAGCAATCTTCAATACTTTTGCTGCCATTAAAATGGCAAAACTGAGAGCTGAATGAATTTTTGGTCAATAGATACTAGTAAAGTGTGGACACACAAGTCCAGATTCTCAGCGGTTGTGTCAGACTGACTCTTTGGAAGTCAACGGAAAGATGTTAATTTACCTCAACTGAAAAATTGGCGTCAAAAGTCTGTCATTTTTCTCACATCTGTTCTCTGTTTCCATGTTTTGGAAGTGTCTTGTTCCGTAGGAGACTCCCACTAGCTGTCACAAGAATTAGCTGCAAAGAGCCACAGAGGAAGCTGCAGTATATTCTCCATCTTCCTTGCTGGAAGGAATTCTACAGTGTGAAAAGGCCTATTAGAAGAGGAATCTAAGGCAGAAGAGAAAAGTGAGCTTCACTGCTGTCAAAAGCTAGATATGAGCTATCCAAATGGCAGCCTGTGGGCCACAGGCAGCCTGTGAAGGGTTAGCATGTAGCCCCTGGGCTCCCACCTGGGCACCACTGTCCCTATTGCTTTACTCTCGGGGTTCCCCCTCCATCCCCCAGGTTCTGCTACACATCTCTATGGGGCAGTGGGGTGGGGAAATGCCTGCCCACATGTATATACATGGGACATGCCCTCAACTACTTGGAAGTTGGACAGTCCTGTGATAGACCACTACAGAAAAGCAATGGGTTAAAATCATAGAATAGAATCATAGAAAAATAAGGTTAGAAGGGACCTCAGGAGGTCATCTAGTCTAACCACCTGCTCAAGGCAGGGTCACATGTATAAAACTTCCTAGATAAGTCTTTGTCTAACCTGCTCTTGAAAACTTCCAAAGATGGAGATTCCACAACTTCACCGGGTAATATGTTCCAATGTATAACCACCGTCAGAGTTAAAAAGTTCTTCCTAATATCCAGTTTAAATTTCCCTTGTTGCAATTTAAGACTTATTTGTTCTGTCCCCTGTGGCCACAGGGAATAGAATATCTCCATCGCCTTTATAACCAGGCTTCAGGTATTTGAAGACTGTTATCAAATCCCCCTTCAGTCTCATCTATTCCAGCCTAAATAATCCCAGTTCTCCTAATGTTTCTTTGTAAGTCGTGTTGGGTCCCTTATCCCTCAGGGGATATCAGATCTGTTTTCTGGCTGATTACATGACCCATTTGATTTTAATGAATGTGTTGAAAATTACTCTGAACTTCTTCCCCAGTTGGCAAAGAAAACTTCCTAGGACAAGGGATCATGGCTGCTATTGCAAGTATGTAAGAGTAGCTGCTGGAGCTAGTGGGAATCTAACCTTCCTTGTAACAGGGGACAGGGTTACAAGAAGATGATACTCAAGAAATAAAGAGTACATGCTTCATACCTTGGTGGTATGGTTTTATTATATAGATAATTTAGAGAGAACAAGGACATTGAACTCTTCTTAAAGTGACGGTTACAAAGAGCAACAAACAAGAGAAATTCTAAAACATAAGACAAGGAGTCTTCTCTTAATTGATGGTCCAGGTCTCTTTTTAATAACCCAGGAGAGACTGTCACTGAAGTCATTCATGTACCAGAGGGGAGAAATGGTTTTTTAGAGCTGGGGGGATCCCTCTGGCTTTGGGAAAGACTCCTTGCAGCCCCCAATAAATCAAAACGAGTACAATACAGTTAATGAGGAAGAGTTGTTCGGTACTTGCAGGCACCATAGTATGTGACAAAGTGTTTTTTATATTCACAGATCTAATCTTTCCCTGTGGCCTTTACCGAAAGGAAGATGCTGATTCAGCCTCCCAGCATGTAAAGTTAAAGGCATTTATTCTGCCTTATTGATTTAATTAGGAATATTCTTGCACTTAAATGAGAGCGCATGGCTTAAATACAGGATAAGGACCTTGGTTTATGCTTACTAAGGCTGAGTGGGCCCTTCGGATTTTAAAATGACACCAATGTCAGAATGGACTAATTACATTGATATCGCATTGGTGTTACTGGGTGCAACTACACATGTGCTTTACTGCAAAGTTAACTAATTAGCTCTGCAGTAAAGCATCACTGTCTATACATGCACCCATATTAAGGCACAATAAATTAATTATCTCCGCTGTAGAACAGTACCATCTCTATCTATCTCTATCCTAATACTATCTTATGGCAGAGTAATTTATGCTGCCACAGTCCATGTGTAGATGATGACCAGGACTGGCTGGGACAGGAGGGTGCTACAGTGCAGGGGCTGCCTGCTGGCTAGCCCTATACTGTAGCCCCTTTGTGCCCCAGCTAGCCCCTCCACCACCCAGCACCACCACCTGGAGCCTTGGGCTGACTCCCTGGGTCCCCTTACAGCCTGGGGCTCCTCTGCCTTGGCTCAACATGCTGTGGTCCCAGATAAACATGTAAACACTGTGCCCAGGAGAAATAAACTCTGGCGCTCTAATTACATATGTCAGTGCACCCACTGAGACCTAGCCTGATCCCTAATAGAAACTAAAAACAAAGAATAGGGCATAGGCCAATGAAGTGATATTGGTTTGTGCAGACAAGTAATAGTGGTATAAGCAGGAACAGACTGACATGCTATCAAATGGGAAACTACATAATCTTTCCTGCTACACTTGGTTATAGGTTCCTTAGCTTCTCTGGGCAGAGAGATAGTTGCATAAATTTGTAGGCTCTTAGTTCTTTCTCAGGGTTTGTCAGAGAAATGAGTAATGTATAATGGAGAGCTACTCAAGGTAACTGTGAGCTTGTTAGCTCAAGGGCCAGTATCAGGTTAGCCATGGTTAACCTGCTGAGAAGGGTATATTAATCTGTGCAGAGCTTTGTTAACACAATGAGATGGGTAGCAATACCTGAGCTACTTCTTTTAAAGCCAACTTGGTACCAGTACACTAAGCTACAGTCAAATCTAATTCAGACCTGCCAGCTATTTAGGGATAATAACTGTGCGCGCCTCAGTAAATAATATTGGGAATTCAAATGAGCTTCAAAGTAAAACTCTCTGGGAATGGCCTGTGGCACCTCAAAAATGCAAAATACTTTGCTTCATTTTGGAGCAAAATCTTTGAGATATCCCTGGGAATGGTCTTACTGATGAACTTGGACTGAGCTCAAATGTGGGGAGAGGGATGGGAAGTTCACATGCACTCAATCCTTTTGACTAAGGCAGAAGTGGGGTTAGATTGCTTCCAACGCATCATCCCAAATGCAACTCAGGAAGTTAGAGGGCAGAAGTGGTTTTCAGGCCCCTTGGCTGAAGGAGGACTTAGTGGATAAAACACTGGCCCCCGAAGCTAGATATTGTGGGTCTGAGTCTGATGAGAAGATACTTTCTTAAACATCAGTATTGTCTCCCTTTCTAGGGAAGATGTTTATAGTTCAACCCCAAGCAATTGAACTCAGTGCAGGGATTACTGAATGAAGAGTTATGGACTGTGCTATTGCGGAGCTTGAACTAGATTAGTTTGGTTCCTTCTGGCTTGGGTCTACACACTCTACATGGGACAAGGCAGGAAAGGGATTACACTGCTACTGATGAAATCCACCCTTGCTAGCCATCCTATCTCTTACAGTCTTCAGAAAAGGGGGATCTCACTAAAAAAAAGTGGCTTAAAACTGCTTATGGCCTTCAGAAGGACAAGACAAGCTTTGCCAAGCCTACAGTGAAATGTCCTCTCCTACCCCTCCTGTGGTTGTATCCTGATCAGGTGTGCCATAACTAGCTCTCTGTGGAATGAAGGACACCACTGGGTCACCTGGGTGACTGTCCTGGTTACTGCTATCATCATTGTCATCATCATCCCAATTTTCTTTGCCTTCATTCCTGTCTCCATCATTGCCATCTTCCTCTTCCTCAGGGGCATCCTCGATCACCATAACCTCTTCCTTGGCATCTGGATTAAACCACACTGCTTTGTAGCCATCATCTGCTGGCTTCCTGTCCTTAGTGAGAATAGATTTAACTTCTTTTTCACTATCGGAGTCATGTGCCGCTTTATCCTTCTCCTCCTGTTCCTCATTAACAGTGGCAGAAGTAACACCAAGGCTGCTAGCTATCATAGTTTCGAAGGGCTGGAAGCTTTCTGAGCGTTTGTGTAGAACAGGTGAAGCATTCCTAGAACTGTTACTTCTTGGCAACTCACTTTCTCCAGTGCTAGCAGGATTTTCTTCATCATCTTGGTAGCTATCATTATTTCTAAATGAATCCTGAAGGAGCTGCAAGAGAAGGAAAGTCTTATGAATAGAAGAACAGAGGATGAAGCAGGGGAAGCATGAGTGCTTGAAATGAACAGGCAAGATCCTGAGCTATTGCATATCGGCATAGCTCCATTTACATCAATGGAGTTTCATTCATTTACATGAGCTGAGGGACAGACTGCCTCATTTCCTCCCTTGTGGTAACTTTGAGTAAAACATTTCCTCCTTGTTTTTGTTAATCTTTTTTGTCCACATCAGGAATCTTGAGCCAAGTGCTCTGTCCTTTCCCATAGGTTCAGAACAGCCAACTAAAGATAACTGTGAGGAATTCAGCATGTCCTAATGAAATAACCCAAGCGCAGTCTTGGCCAGGATCCTCCCACCACTGATAGGACCTTGAGGGGCAATTCCTACTTGTAAATCTTGGAAGCATAAAGAAATGTATGGGGAGGTGGCAATGCCCCCCTTCCCCCCCCCCCCCCCC